ATAAAAATATGAAAGAGTGTCTACCGTTAGGTAGAATTGGAAAATTGAACAAAATATAAGTGCGAAGACCCAGAAACTTCATTTCTTAAGATTTTGGATTAGAAATGAAATAAGTTCATTTGGGTGAGTTGTTCATTACTTTGAAATGAATAACTTGGTATTCTACGAAGATGTTTACACGAACCAATATATCCATTTTCATCGAATTTATTTTTGGTATAGATTTTATCATATTTAATTATTTTATAAAAATATATTCAAGATATATGCATTGTATGGATATATCCATTTCATGTATAAAAAAATGATTTTTTTTTAAAAAAAAATTTCTAACTAGTTTCTAACCTGACCAGAATTAATATTCGATTCATAAGCTATTGATGCAAATGTACCTTTTTTTTTCATTTTCTATTTTCACTGGACTACGTGTTGCTTTGGATTAATTATAAAAGTTATTGGTTTAAACAATATTGTTGCTAAGTGCACTTGGATTATTTAATTATTATTTAACTAAAGACAATATTTTCTTTCACTCGTTTGTTAAATGTAGATTGAGAATTGAAATTTGTCATTAGATATTATTCTGAGTTTTGATAACTGTTATATCATATGTTTTAGTTTTGTACACATGTATTGGTAATTATTCGAAATTTTTTAATGCTTTTGAACTTTGTTTGAAGTTAATTTTTATAAAAGTTACAAATAAATAATTTTTGCTAAATTAAATAGTTTTTTTTTTATAATTTTTTTTAATTTTTTTTTTATGGTTTTCGTATGTTACATATTACAGGAGACAGAATTTTTAGATGTTAAGTTTGGACGTTATACTCACATTACTTAAGCCATAGACAACAGATAACATTAGAACAACATATAGTTGATTCTTGGAGACTTGAGAACTTAAGCAAGTCATTTGGCCGCATAAGTGAACCGAGAACACTCGCTTGTTAGATTTGAAAGCTTGCGAAAGCCTATTTCGAGCCTAAGGAATATTACTGTTTAAGTAATTTCATTGCTTATAGTAATAACTTGAATTAAAACTTAATAGATTGTCTAATTCATAAGGATAGTCTAGTGAAACTAAAACCCCTAACAATTTTATTAATATATTTTATAATTTTTCTTAATTTTAAGTCTTATTTAAAATATATCAGACAATTCCAAATATTTTGACCTAGATAGTAAAGAACTAAATTTGAATGGTATTACGTTGAACTCTCTTTGGAAGAAATGCGTACTTGGACTCTATCTCATTTTACTACTTATATGATTCTGTACATTTGTCAAAATAAATTTCTAACAGTGGCCAGGCAGGCATCATAAAGCAAATCATATATTCGTCTATTATACTCAGAATTTATATATGAACTGGAATAGTAAACATTTGGCTTTTACACTTTGCAGATTTGTCTATATATATTGGTTAATTGGCAAGAACAGTACAACAGCACTGTAGCATACAAAATTACTAACCTAAAATTCACTTTTGATTAATTTATTCACATAATATTGTTTGAGTCTTCTTGGGGCTGCTTTCCTCCGGCATGCAAGCCATTTCTTGTAGATGCTTTTCATGTGAAGGATATAATCTTGGAAAATCTCTGCTATCTCTCTATGTCACGTAATTAAAATTGAAATTCTACACTATCCATTTTCCACAAATTGAAAGAAAAGGTATTAGTTTTAGAATAACTATCATCGTATGGAATCGATCATTAAGGAGGAAATTAAATGGACTTATCATATAGTACTAAAATATGTCTCTAGCTAGCAGAAATTAAATGGAAAAGACATAACTAGTACGTTTAATTAATTCCTTGATGATAAACTGTTAGAAATTGGCAGGGCAATTCTCCTTTGGCAAACCAGAAGAAATCACGTGCATGCATGTTCTCTCTGCCAAAGGAGCATTACTCTGTCATTCCTCAACAGCACGTCTTTCACACTTCCAGCACCAATTCTGTGTCTAAGACTATCATGTTATAATAATATAGAAGCCCTATATATAGCAAAGTAATGCGCACCTCATTTCGGATATGCCATTAAAAAGAGTAGGAGGAGCATATGCCAGCACAATTCTGGATTCTCTCCTCATCAATTATATTCAAAGTCCAAGGATATGTCTATATCATAATTTTCTCTTTGCATATAAATCAGATGCTCTTTTTTGCACTCAAGTTATACACTTATACTAAATACATCCAGTAAGTATGTATCTATATGTATCTGTACTTTTGTGTGCATAAAGTAGGCCTCCTTAATTATATGTGATTTATTTTGTCTACAAAATATTTTACTAACATGAGATGAAATTAGGTTAAAAACATAATTTAATCATGTGTAGTTCATTTTTAATTTAGTCTCTACATATAAAAACACATTAAATTAATTCCTACACATTCAAATGGTATCAATTTGGTCCCAATTGTTACTCCTTATTTGTACCGTGTTATTAACATTGTATGTGGACAATTAAATGTGTGAACACATTGTTTTTCACTTTAACAAAGAAGTGAAATGACATACATATTCATATATATTAAAGATCATTTCTTTCTTGCATTTGCTGTTATTGTACTTATGACTACTCTCATTAAAGAACAAATAGAATAATATTAAACACATTAAAAGATCGTTGAAGAATAAACCATTACGAAGAATGACACAAATATTTATACAACCTATATAAGACTATTTATAATACCGTTTAAATAAAGAATAACGGTAAGGACTAATCTAATAGTATTTACACATGTAAGGATTAATTTAATAAGTTTTTAAATATAGGAACTAAATTGAGAATCACTCAGACATGCATAAACTAAATTAAATGGTTAACTCAAGCAAAAAAATAAAAATAAAAAAGGAATGAAAAATAATGATAAAAAAGAATTTAAGATGAAAGGGTTCTAGCTGTACACCGACTCTAGGGTTACAAAATTCTGGATGGGATACAGCATGTGGCTAAGGAGAAATTCTTGGGTAAGCTTCATCATGCCTATCTACCTAGAAAGTTTCTCGACGTTAAGCATATCAAATTTTTATTTCATTGTTGCAAGTTTAATTCACATTTAATTTATTAAAAACTTTAATT